ATGCCATAGTTGTGCAAGCTGCTCGGCGTGGTGGGGAGACGGCCGTGGCGCACGGGAGTCGACATAGCGACGATGTCGTTGAGCTTTTCGCTATGAGGCGGCAGGAGCACGACCCAGAACGACGGAAATCGTTGTCAAAACGTTTGTGGAGGGCTCTCCGCACGAGCAGACGTCGCCGCTATGATAGGGAGATCCGCGAAGCAGCTGCACAAGGCCGAGGATTACGTAGCCTCCAAAGGATCCAACAGCGACATGCTGGCGTCGAGAGGACCACGTCGATCGAAAATCTGGCGGGGGAGCTGGTGACAGATGGTGCAGGTATCGCGGAGGCTTTCGCCTGCTTCTATGAAGACTTGTACCGGGATGCTCAGGCAGCTGGATATGACGAGTGGCAAGGCGAACCCCGAGCTGTCTCACCGATTACACCTGCGGAGGTTACAACGGCTCTGAAACGGATGAAAGGAGGAAGAACGGGCGCTGATGACGGATTGGTGGCGGAAATGCTCCGCTCTGGGCACGAGGAGCTGCTGAGCACCATCGCATCGTATTTCACGGATATCCTTGGCGGGTCTTTGGACGCGCCGGGAGAGTGGAAGGTCGCGCGATTGTCTGTCATCTTCAAGAAAGGTGCCAGGCACGATTTACGGAACTACCGACCTATCTCGATCATCCCAGTCCTGGCGAAGTTGTTCAGCCTTGTGCTTTACGACCGTATCAAAGACAGTGTGGAGAAACAGTTGCGGGAAGAACAATATGGCTTCCGTCGTGGTAGGGGTTGTGATGACGCTTTGCATGTTTTGAGAATGGTTGTTGAGAAGTCTGGAGAGTGGGGAGAAGAGCTCTGGGTAGCGACCCTGGACGTCGAGAAGGCTTTCGACAAAGTGCATCATGCGCAACTTTTTGATGCACTCATGTTGGCGAACGTGGATTCTGCCGTGGTGGCGGCTCTTCGTAAGCTCTACCAAAATATGTCGGCCTATGTGCAAGTAGATCCAGGCACAGACAGTCGTCGCTTCGAGGTGCAGCGGGGAGTGCGTCAGGGAGACCCTCTTTCGCCCGTGCTGTTAAACCTGGTGATGACGCAGGTGCTGGGTGAAGTTGACGCTGCATGGCAGCGACGAGGTTACGGCACGGAGGTAGGGAGAGCGGTCGATGGGACGCGCCTCACGCACGTTGCCTTCGCAGACGACATGACGCTCGTCGCTAGATCCTGGATTTCCTTGAAGCGCATGGTCGTTGCCGTGCGAGATTCGCTGCTGAAGCGCGGCTTGAAGTTGCACCCCACGAAGTGCAAGGCGCAGAAGAATCGCCCCGACGTTCGGCAACGAGGCGACGTGGCTTTGGCCAACGGTCTCTCGCTGAATGTGTTGTGGGAGGGAGAGCCCCTGGAAGTGCTCGGCACGATGCTTTCGCTCACGGACGCGACCAAGGCAGAGTTGGAGCACCGGGTTGCGATTGGGTGGAGGAAGTTCTGGGCCATGAAGCGGCTGCTGATGAATGCAGATACTTCCCTGTACAGGAGACTGAACCTGTTTGACGCGGCCATCGGCAGCAGTGTCTTATACGGTGCTGGATCGTGGACGCCGCGCGCGGACGAGACGCGCTTTCTGACGACAGCAGAGAACGGGATGTTGCCACGAATATGCGGCATTCGTCGTCGTCTTGAGGAGCCATGGCATGAATGGATCCGCCGGGCCACCAGCCGTGCGCGGGCCAAGGCGCGCGCCGCGGGCGTGCGGGACTGGCCGACAGCGCACGCAGCGAGGAAGTGGTCCTGGGCTGGGCACGTCTGCAGGTCAAGCGCGCGCACGTGGGCCTGGAGAGTGACGTTCTGGCGAGACTCCGCGTGGACGGCGGATGCACGTCGCGAGGGCTCGGGCAGGCTGATGCGGCCATCGCGCCGCAGACATATGAAATGGGAAGACAAACTTCGACAATATGCAGTTCATACCGGCGGGGCTCGCTGGGCACAGATGGCAGGAGACAGGGCCGATTGGCTATCCAGAGCGGGAGACTTTGTGACGTGGGCGATAGCTTAGCTTGAATGACCGGCCCTACAGTACAGAGCGCTTTGGGGGATGCCCTCCTCCTCGTTCCCTTCCCTCTTCCTCCTCCTCCTCCTCGTCCTCCTCCTCTTCCTCCTCCCTCGTCCGGCGTCCAGCCGCGCCCACTTTGCTAGCATCCCAGTTTCGTTTTTCGCATCCTCTGGCCTGCGGCCGGCGCAGGGGGAGGGGGAAATATGTCACCTTCTGCGTGGTCTGTCTCTCTTTCAGGCCACGGTTCACTTCATGAGTTTGCCTATCGCAGGTCGGCTCTTGGGGTGCTCCTGGTTTGCCTGGCGAGTCTCTGAGTCGCATAACATGTCGTTCGCCCGTGCCCGTGGGTATACAAGCTCATGGGACGTGGGGACCGTCTCCACCCCGGAGGCCCTTGCCAGGCCCAAGCCGGACCCAAAACGATAGCGGATGGGCCGGCACGCCGGTTTTTTTGGCGTCGTATCCAAAGGTTGTCTGTCTTCTCGCGTCGCGCCGCGGCCGTGCGGTGCATGAGGCATAGCACGAGGCCGGTTTGGGATCACCACCGGCCCTCATATTCTCGCTGTTTGTTTTTGTTTTAGTTCCTGCATGCGCGCCCGCGCGACGGGCCTCTCCGGAGATGCGCACACTTGCCACTTGCCACTTGCCACCTCTTCGCCCCTCTCGCCGGCCTGCGGCCTTCGGCACGTGGACGAGCTCCTTGATGTCATCCTGCGTCGGCGCCGCCACGTTCTCCTCGAGCTCCGTCGGGTCGCAGACGCTGTCGTCGACGACCAGCGAGCGCTCGTCATCGAGGCCGCCCGCCCCGCGCCTCTGCTTGCCAGACGTCGCCACCAGACGGCCATGCTCAACTCCTCCGCGAACTCCTCGAATCGCGGCTCGTGGACGCTCTCCCCGACGCCCTCTCACGTCGGCACCTCCGCGATCCGCTCGGGGTCCTTCGGCACATTGACGGCCTGCCTGCCGACGTGCTCGGGCGTCGGCACCGTCAGCATCTTCTCAGAGGCCCGGCACGGGGGCGCTCTCCTCGACGCCCTTGGCCGTCGGCCCCTCCGCGCTCTTCTCAGCGAGCTTCGGCAAAGCCTTCTTGGTCTCCTGGCCCTCCTCACCCAGGACGTGGACGATGGTCTCGGCAGGCACGACTTTCGGCACCTCAGCGGTGCTGGCCATCTCCACCTTTGGCTGCACGCATGGTTCATGCTTCTCCCCGCCGGAGATGCTGGCACGCACAGGGGGGCGGCCTTGCCATGCACCGCCAATGCTGCTCCTGCCTAGCCAGCTTCGGAGCCAGCTCCCCAGCCGAGATGTTGAAGGCGTGCGCCGCACATAACGTGTGCTTCCAGCTCGACCAAGCTGCGCCCCGATCTCCTCGTCGTCCCCTGCGCAACGAACTCCTTGCACCAGTAAGGCCAGTGCGCGCCCTAAGCTCCTCCTTGATGAGAGCCTCTCCCTCCCCCTTCGCCCACGTGGGCGCCGGCCGAGAACGCCACGCCGCGTGGAGACGACGGCGCACAATGGCCGCCCGCGCCACGGCCTTGAGAGCCGCGTGGGCCGCCGCGCAGCCCCGTTGGGCGTGGCTTCAAGGGGGGGGGGTCCTAACTCGGGGGGGTCAGACACGGCCCCCTCTCGTGCCCCTCTCGGGCCCCTCCGGAGCCCCAGGGGGGGCTCGTCCAGGTACCGCTTGTGGGCACCTTCTCGGAGCACCCTCGCCACCCGCGGTGGACAACCCTCCCTTTCGTAAACCTCCCCTCAGTGACTGAAACGGCCTGGGACCGAAACCGACGGACCTGGACCCGCAAAAATGACGGCCGCGACGCCCTCTCGCGAATCGAAAACGGCCAATTCCTTAATCGACGTGTCAGGATAGGAGGTCTATCCACCTCCGAATTTATGACCCTCCCATGAAGCAGCGCCCAGCCCCGAATCGAGCAGGGACCGACCGTCCCGGCATTCCTGTAGTCCTACCACGAAATGTTCTTAGAACCCCAAAATGTTCTAAGAACAAAAGCAACGTTCTTGGAACAACAACCCGATGTGAAGACCGTCCCAGCCAGAAATGCTCTAAGAACATTTCGTGGAAACCACAAAAGGTTCTTGGAACATTATCCGGTAGACCTATGGGCACGCCAGGACGCTTCGCCACTGCTTGGAACCCCGAAGGAGCCCGCCCAGGGGCACGCCGGCCGCAGCTGCCGCCACTGCGGCGCCCTCGTCCGGAGGGCGCCCCGCCCGCCACCGCCGCGGGCCGGGCAGGCCGCGCGAGAGGGGCCGCGCGCCACCGAGGAGGGCGCGGGGCCCGAGCGCGGCGCCAGCCTGGCGCCCAAGGCCGGCTTGAGCCAAGACGGCTACGGAGGGGGGGCAGCGGGAATAGGAGGAAGAGGACGATGAGGAGGAGAGGGAGGAGGAGGAGGAGGAGGAGGAGGAGGAGGAGGAGGAGGAGGAGGAGGAGGAGGAGGAGGAGGAGGAGGAGGAGGAGGAGGAGGAGAGGAAGGAGGAGGAGGACGGAGGAGGACAGAGGGGGGAACGGGGGGACGGGCGGGGCGGGAGACGGAAGGCTCGCCCCCGGTAACCCAGCAGCCCTCCTGCGCCTCGCGCAGGCTGAGGTGGCCCAGGTAGCCGAACCGCGCCTGCGTGAGCGGGCGGCGACCGTCAGCAGAAGGGCCATGAGGAGAGAGGAGAGAGAGAGGGAGGATGGAGGGAGGGGGGCTGGAGGAAGGATGGAGGGAGGGGTGGGGGGAGGACGGGGGGAGGGAGGAGAGAGTGAGGAGGGAGGTAGGAGAGGAGAGAGAAGCAGGGAGGAGATGGGAGGAAGGAGGGAGGAGAGGGAGGAGAGGAAGGAGAGGAATGAGAGGGAGGAGAAGGAGGAGAGGGATGAGGGATGAGGGATGAGGGATGATGATGGTGATGATGCTGCTGCTGATGATGATGATGAGGAGAATGAGGAGGACAAGGATCATTTGGAGGAGAAGGAGGAGTGAATCAGACAATCCCTACATATGTACATATATGCTGCGTGTACAAGAATGCATTGGAGCTTTGCGCCATGCACCTTGGTCCTTGAAGTTTGGTATGCAGGCGGAGTGGCAGGAAAGTCCAACAGACAATTCAGCGATAACTCCCTGTTGCTTTTTTTCGGGCATCGCCGTCATAGTAACGTCAGTCGGTATCCTTCCTTCTTGTTTCTTGTTCCTCATGTTCGCCCTACCATGCGTATTTTCCTCCATCCTCCTCAACTCTTTTTGCGGAGGCTCCTCCTTGGAGAGCCTCTGAGGGCCTCACGGAAGTTTTTCAGGCTTTCTAAAAACCTTCTGGAGGCCTCCTGGGCGCCGTCTGGGGGCCTCTGGGGGCTCTTGGGCCGTCTTGGGGCTCTCGTGCGCCGTCGTGGCGCCCTCTTTGGGTGCCTCTTGGGCCGTGTTGAGCTGATTTCTGGGGCCTCGTGGGCTGTCTTGGACCGTTGGAAGCATGAAACAGCGAGAACACGAAAACCCTTCAAGAACCATCGAAGGAACCAACTTGTTTCGCCTCCTGAGTGCCTCATGGGAGTCCTTTTGAGGGCATCTTGGCCGTCTTGAAGCCCTCTTGGGCTGTCTTCAAGCCATGTTTGACCAATTTTGAAACGCTCTTGTGCGGTCTTGGGCTCTCTTGGAGCGCTCTTGAGCCATCTTGGCGCCTTCTTGACGTCTCTCGACCCCCTTTGACGTTTTTTGGCGCCCCCCGCCAGGCCCGAAACGGCCGGAAGGTAAATCAGTGCACGCTGGAGGGCCCAGGACCCCCTGCACATATATATATATATATATATATATATGTATCTACATATCTATCTATATATATGTGTATATATATATATATTAGAACCACGCGCGCTTCGCGTGCGCTTAGGTTCTAGTCGCGCTCGAAGATCTATCATCGCAAATTGCCGTTGGGTGCTGCCAGATTGACTCGGGAATTCCCTGAAGGTTGGTCGCGGGACCTGCCGCTATTTGGTAGATAACCCAACAAAAATCGTGCAAAGGGGTCTTCGGGGGCGTCTACGACGCTTTCGTCTAGGACCGAAGAAGATCAAAGAAGAACTGGGGATGTCGGTGCTCTAACCTATTGCAGATACACTGGGTTTTCCTAGTCTAGATCGTCGTCATCAACTCTAAAGTGCCAGGCTACAGCAGAATGCTTCTGCGCGACGCTCTGCCAGCGAGCGATTCGCCCTGCCTGGAGCATGTGGTCGCACGAGTCGAGCCTCGACCAAGACGGGAGCAGCTGCCCGAACAACAAGTCTCGAAAACTGCGGTCGAATGCGTCTAGGTCTGGGATGCGGCCCAAGATCACCTCCTTGTCCTCTGGCATGCTGGCCTGCGCGCTGCTGATTTTCAGGTCGACGAGTCCGTCCCGATTTTTCTCCAGGTGGGCCAGGGACGGCAGCTGTAGCGACTGGGACATGCCTGCTGAGTGGGCGGCAGCAATCTCGGCCACGCACCAAGCCCGGCTGAAGATGTCGAAGCGCTTGTCAACTGCAACCACCTGGGCGAACTTACTGTTGCCAGCTGACAGAGACATCATCAGTTGATCAAACTTATCCATCTCACACCGCACACTCTGCCGCCTGGGAGATGAGCGTTGTCCATCGCTCGTAAGAGGCAGAGCGGTGTTGAGTGCTTTTGGCAGGCCGCACGGGCAGAGGGGGTAGTGCTCGCCCGTCACGGAATCCCTCCTTGAATACAGATACGCAGCGCAGATGCTGGTGTGCTGATTCACCGAGAAGGCGCACACCCAGTACGTTCGAGATCCAACTTTTGACTGGGAAACCCAGCTCATGAGGGTGTCGATGTCGTGAATGAGCAGGGCCGACACCTTGCAATACTCCACCTCGGAAAGAGCATCTGACACAATAGCCGCAACCAAATCGGTAAATATGTTCCCCCAGTTGTGAGTCACCATCTTGTTGGGCTGCACAGGGCTGTGGTGCATCATGATTTCAGCCATAGATGTTTTGCGTTCTGCCGACAACGGAATGATGGCGCCTCGGACCACGTCCTCCGTGGTGTGCTTCCAAGGGTCGAAGTACGGCATCACGTCGTTGCCCAGCCTGCAATAGAACTCCAGCAGCGCCTGCAGCGTGAAGCCCCTGCCGGCCAACTCCTCGACTTTGGCGTTCCAGTCCATGTCGGCGCGTGGTTCCCACTCCGCGGAAAACTGTTTCCAAGTGCGCTGGCGCTGACGCTCCGAGCGGGTCGTGGACAAGCCTCCGCGGAGTGCCCCGAAGCAAGCTCCACTAAGGGCCAGGGCGGCAAAGGCGTTCAGCGTAGTGTCGACCAAAATTACACCCTGCACCGCGATCAAGAATTCGGGCGTCCTCTCGTCCACGGGACGCCCCAAGATTGGCCAAGAGAGGTCCGATGTCCACATTTTGCTCAACTGTGCGACGAAGGAACTCACATTCCCCATGGATGATCCCACCATCTGGAATATC